TGTGCTGTCCAACATCAAATACAGATTGAACTTAACTTCAGTCTTGTTGATCATACTTAAATTTCGTTTTTACAATTACTTTTTTATATTATGAACCATACTCTATAGCTTAGTGTGTAGGGGTGTGTAGTCTTATACATAAGTTTTATATTAAATTTTTTCAGTATATGTTTTATGTTATATTATCAATACCAATTTAAAAATAATATTAGGACAATTCAGTATATCTTCTAGAAGTAGATCGGAAAGCTAGTACGTTGTAATAACCATACGATTAGATATCATACTTCAAAAATTGAGATACCATATGTGAGGTACATAAATTTACATTTCACACAACTGTAAATTAAGGATCTGTATAAAATCAGTATGGGACCAATCGAGTGCAGCAAAAAGCTCAACACAAAAACTTTTATAACTGCAATTACATTTTAATGAATGCAGTTCAAATTATCAAATGTCAAGGCATCTCTCCTATATAAATGCTATGGATAAATCCCATTTACGTGAATCCATTTTCTGAAATAGCCGAAAGCTAATTGTAAATACTAGTTGGAATTTATTTAAAATAATAAATATAGCAAGGTGTTTCGATGTTAAGCTTTGATTAATAGTTTAGTGATAGCTACTAATGTACTAATGCCACATGCTAATGGCAAATGCTATAACAACATCTTTATGGAAATATAATAAAAAGTAATAATTAATTATAATATGATGCGTCACCCTATAAATATTCAATTTATAATATTGGTAATAAATAAGAAGAGTGAGTTTTTTTTTATTTTTATGGCCAAAAGTTTTTTATTATTTGCCCTTAATCGATTTATTGACAAAACATTCACTTGGTTAGTTATGTTGAATCAATTTAACCATTCATTTAAGTTTGTTGTTAAACAACACATCATTTTAAAAAATTAACATCTCCATCTCCATCCTCAAGGTTTGATCGAGTATTAAATATTCAGGGATTCCTAAAATTTAACAGGGCTTAGTAAGGACAAAACATAAATAAAATAGTTGGCTTAATATAGAGTCCCATAATAATTACATTTATTATAAAGAATTATACAATATATTTTTACACAATGCGAATATCCTAAAAATTAAATTACATTAACAATCAAAACCAAAAAAAATGTATATAAATAAGAAATATATCACATCGTAATGATATTATCAAATGATAATGCTATTTTTGTTTCACGGTAAGCGTGTAACGAACCTAAAACCGATTTTAATTAGAATTTGGATTAAACGACTGTTTCATTGTTTTTCTGAAAATAGAAGTTCTCTCTCAGTTTTCGCCAAAATGATAATAAAAAATCATACACATTATAGTATTACTTACCGTACAATCGTTTTCAACGTTGAAATGTTATATTTCTTGATTGGGAGCCTCCAAATATACACAACGAAAATTCTACAACAGAAAAGTGTTATAATAATTTTAGAAAAACAAATACATCAATAGTACTAACAGTGCCTGCTGAACTTTTAAAGCCAGTAATACGAATGTAGAGCATCGGCGTGGGGTCAAATTTCAACATTTGCCAAGATCGTTTCGGCTCCTCAGTGTTGTCTACGAGCATTTGCCAATTCTGATTATCGAGCGAACTTTCAACAGTATAGGTGTAGGTTTGTGTATTGCCGCCCCAAAGCAGCAACCTATCAATTATGGCGATAATAATATTATCTTAGTTTTATAATGACTTAAAGTCATGAATAACAGATAATTAGTCAAAAAAAACTTTTGTTTCACCATTTTCTACTTTGTTTTAGTTTTATTTCACCGGATGGTGAAAAAAAAGCAAAACAAAATTATCAATCACATCAAGGTTTTTATCGAAAAGACAAAACATTTAATTAAACATTATTCTGATGATTAATGATTGTGTACGAGTAAGATAATTCGATTTATTTTTTATGTAATAAAAAACTTATTTCAACAATTAGAAACGATAAAAAAGATTGTCGAAATAAGGTTTATGTGGGCCTGTCCAATAAAGTGAAATGATTTCTAGAAATATTGAATGACATTTTTACTATTACCTCATTGAACTAAGTATAAATGGTTGTGTAAGATGAACCACTATACCACTAGATCCCAGCCGATGCCATGTGTAGCAGTCATTTCTAGCTTTGTCTTTATAGTATATACTTAATAGCGTACTATTATCATTATTTTGACCTTCGATTACCATTGCGTCAAAATAATTTGGAGCGACATTATACTTGCCCTTAGGAACTTTATTGAAATGAATAAATTAGACAAATATATATATACAGGGTGAAGCAACTTTTGATACCTAAACAGTAACGTATATATTTTATTAACTTTTTAAGTTGTGAATAATGTTCTATACATTTTTGAAGTTATTGAATTTTTTAGTTAAGGGCAGGAGGAAAGATGGAGTGTAGTATTATTTTTATATGCGGAAAATTCTCAAGTACTCTTCCTCTCCCAACCAAACTTTCTAACTCCATAAGGAGTAAAATATATACGTTAGCATTTAAGTTTCAAAAGTTGCTATCAAAAAACTGAGTTGGGAGGGGCTTAAAAACAAACAAAAATTGTTAAAAATTGAGATCACATTGTATAAAAACAATATGAAATAAAAATTGTAATTTTTATTAAACCCTATGAGATATTAAGTGGTTTCTGATAAAAGAACCACTTTTTATACAAATTTATAGTTGTTTTTCTATGAAATTTTAGTTTTTTCATTGGTATTCTTACTGACAAATCCATTTGCGATATCCGCCATAGCTTCTGTACTGTATTTGACAAGCCAAATTTGGAAAGTCGCATTAGCAGTACTTTTAGTTTCAACAATGCGTATATACCGAACTATGCATGGAACAAACCACAAAAATTGAATTGATCGACAATTATAATTTGAATAATCTAAAACACGTGTCCAGTTTATCAGATCCACTGAAACTTCAACGTAATATGAGTAACATCTAAAACATTGAATAATTCGAATATTATGTAGCGTATTGATTAAAATAAATAAAAATATATAAACTAAATATTAGGAACAGAGTTTTGAAAAAATTGTCGCTAATAAATACAAGTTATGAACAAACAATTTTTAATAAACAATAAGAACAGAATGTTATTTTTCAATCATTGATCAAAATGATATATTTACTTAAAATTAAAATTATTCTCAACAAATAAAAATGTTTGTGCATAAATAAAAGCAATTATGAATCTAAGTCACTAATGTGTTGAAAAATATTTTCAAAGATTGTTTTTTTTAATTTTGGCTATTTCAATTATAGTTAAAAGTTCTGAAATCAATTCCTTGCGAACACAAATTGCAACCCCACCTCCCATTCTACATTTGTTTTATCACTCCGATCAACTCTGTACACATTATAATTAAAAAATCCTAATTCGTCATCTGATATTTCAACATTCAACCAAGTTTCAATCATAATGGCCATTTCAATTAAAAATATTTAAAAGTTTAAAACATACTTTAGTTTGTCAACCTTAACTTCATCCCATAACGATATTTCAATATAGTTCATAAATGATGGAGTATTTAACTTTATCATATTAGTACCGTCATAGTTATATCGATCCGAAAAATCATCAGACTGATCAATAAGATCCACATTGATACCCGGAGATCTCCGAGACTCAAAAGTAAGACTCACATCGGGTTCTAAAAATTTTTAAAAAAATCGAAACCAACACTGATTTGTGAAATACAAATAATTGTGAACAGCATACTTAGCTGCCCCCGAAACTGAGGCTTATCTGTTGACAACGTGTTTCTAAATTCTATAGCATCTAAAATAATATCCGGAGTAACCAATTTTGATTCCTTAGCATCAGCCAGTTCTTTATCACTCATTAAATGATATCTGACGGCCGATAAAACTTCAATTTTACTATCTCGATCCAGGTTGTCTTCGTTCTCAGTAATCCAACGACATACCTCATTAAATATATAAAATTCGTTAGAATAAAATGTGTCTCGATTTAGAATTCCTAGAAGAGCTTCCTAAAAATGAAAACATTTTTTTAACATCGCACCTAACACGAGAATTATGATTTTTTTGTTTATAAAAATATCATTACAGATGACAAAGCCAAAAAATTTTCAGATCGCAATACATCCAAAGCGTTGTTGTCGATAAAGTCGAGCGATTCGTCTTCAAGCTCTTTGTATTGATAAATTTGTGACAGAACAAGGAACGAACATACATTTTGTAGATTAATCCTTCTTTGCAAATACTCGTACAGTGAGTGGTTTAAGTTTAATACACCAAAAAAATCCGCAATCCTATGTAATTCGAAAAGCTCTTCAACCTTAAAAATAAAGAATCAACAAATGTATTTAATATTTTTTCATTAACATTTGTTCGATTGAACACATAATTTAATTTCACAGATCAAACACATGCTATGGGCCGAACGATCCCACAGCCCTAATAAAAATTATATTGGTTCCTCTAAATAAACGCAAAATTATGTCGATTATTCGTTACCTTTAGATTATTTAAATTATTTATTTTGCCAGTATAAATATATTTAACAAGTATTTTAAATAATGTTACTGGTACGTCACTTATCGGCACATTCAAATCATAAGTTTCTCTATTACCTCCATACAATAAACCACTAAAAATAATACATAATATTAATATAAACATAAAATAATGGAGTAAAAACGATACCCATTTTAGGATTAAGTGAGATAATTATACTCTACTATTAATTATACCGTTATTGGAATGATGAAACCAATGAGATTCCAAATAAATGAATCAGATTATGTTTCAATTTTAAAATACATCTATCGACATATTCCATTTCAAAATATACCAGGCGGTAGCAGTGTTAAAAATAAGCGAAGTATATAAAAAAATAGGTGTCTTATTTTAGGTCACAATAAACAGGGAAATATAAACTGCTATGAAACAATAAACATGAAAATTCCTCTGGTTGAGGCCGATGAACCGTTTAAACGTCTAAGGACTCATATACAAGTATATAAAGATTCAATTTGATCATAATTTTGAAAACTTATGTACAAGAATTACTACAGATAAAAAAAAAAAAATAAGAAAATAAATAATTATCACCCGTCCAAGAAAGACCAAAGGAAATATACACAATGACAAGAATGAATTACCTAAAATATTTGCTGCGTGAGGCTAATAGAAAACGATGAGCGGACAATTGTTCCTTTTCTACAACCAAAGTAACATCTGAAAAACTGAAATAAGTATTGAACTTAGTTAATAATGCAGATATGATATAAGCAATAATATACTGTTTATATATTCTAAATGAGATAGTTGGCACTAAAAAATTGATAAATAAATATAGATGGGGGAGGGGGAGAAGGTAACAGTATTTATTTTAACCGGTCTGTCAAATACATTTTTCAATATTGCTTCCTTGATAGCATTAATAAGAATAAATATTAATAATAAAAGTATACAGTCAAATTATATTTGGCAACTTGGTGTACTACCTACTTAAATTCCAACTCAAATTACAATTATAGATTAATTAAATTAAAACTGTATAGAAGATAAACGTGATGAAATTTTGAAAATACTAAAATTAATAGGTACAAATTTAATACTACTTACCTGCCGCTTACATAGAGGTTGCTCATATCACTGACCAATATGTGAGTGTGATCAATTTCCTGGTTACTCTGTGATTTGGAAGACGAAGGTCGCATGATATAACCTTTAAGATTAGTACATAATACTATTAGTAAAACATTTAATGTTATAGATGTGTTTGTAAGGTGTTTTCAATAGTTAAGGATCGTTAATTTTATTTAGAAATCATTTTAGTTCGTATTACTTTAAAGTATGTATTAACATTTTTTATTAATTTTCTTTTCTAATATATTTCAAGATCTATCAGTTTTTAATTACACAGAAAAAAATGCATAGTTGGTCCAACTAAAATTACGGTGTTTACTATAAGGACTCTATTGATCTATATGAATGTAGTACATGGGCCACGGCAAAATCAGATGAAAAGAAGTATTTGAAAGAAAAATATTTATGAAAATCTTCGGTTCAAAGAGAAATAACGATGGAGAGTATGAAATAAGAAACAACGAAGAATTGGATAATCTTTATAAAGAACACTTTAGGAGGTCTGAAGGAATAATTGGTTTAATAACTAAATAGAAACCCAACGTCGTTGCGGCGATGGGCCTTAAAGGCCTGTAAAAGCTTAGGAAAAAAAAACACTATATTTCTAGTTGGGCCAACTTAACTTTTAGTAAAGCATGTTGTTCAGCAAAATTTCTTATATCTACCCAAACTATGGCAAATTTTCTGATATCGATTATATTCACTTTTTATTAATTTTGTTTGTATTACCTATTAGATATAATATTTAACCTACTCATTTTGTTACACAAGTTTTCGGTAACAATATTCCAAAAATAACTGTTTACACCTCGTAAAATAGGCAGATTACAATCCTCTAAACCCTGAAAAAAATAAAATAAAAAATGTGTTTTATTTTGCTTCATAAATATTTTTTTCAATTAGACACATAGTTTATTGTAACAGATTAAACATATACTATCGGCTAAACGATCACACAACGCTAATAAATATTATACTTGTGTCATTTAATAAACGCTAATCTGTTTTGATAATTCCTTACCTCTAAAACACTTAAATCTATTCGTCCAGTATAAATATATTTATGAATTAATTTAACTAAGGTTACTGGTACATCACTTATTTTCACACCCCGTTCATCGGTTTTTTTATTTTTTTTATACAATAAGTCACTAAAAATAATATACAATATTAATACAAACATAAAATAGTATATTGAAACGATTAAATTGATAATTTGTACTCTACTTAATATTATTTAGACCATTTTAGGGATGATAAAACCAATTGTTTGTGTGTTTTGCGGGTTCAAATACATAAAACAAGTTTTTTTTAACTTTAAAAATGTTAAAGATCTATCTTCAGATTCCATTTAGTTTCAAAATATTACTGACTTAAATATTAACAGTAAAAAAAAGTAAATGTATTTACAATATTAAGGGTCTCCTATTAGGTATCAACGAACCAGGAAGTGTAATGGTCATGAAAACTCCTTGAGGGAGGCCGATGACGCGGATTGATTCATATGACTCATTTACAGGTAAATAAAGTTTTAATTTATGCCTTATATTCACACCTGATGTTTAAAAACTACAGCTACAAAAAAAAAAATAACTTATAAAACAAGTTGTTTCATCAGCCCAATAAGAAAAGCCTAAGGAAATAAACTTAATGATAAGAATTCAATACCTAAAATATTCGCTGCGTGAGGCCAATAAGACACGATTGGCTTGCAATTGTACTCCATTTAAATCCAAAACCACATCAGAAAAGCTAAAATAATTATTAAAATTACTTAATAATGCACATACGATTATAAAAAGTAATAATAAATTATGTGTAATTTCTAATTCAGGTAATTAGTAACAAGACACTAGTTTAAAATGATAAATAATTTAAGGAATGAAAAATTTAGGATAAAAAGAAGATAAAGTACAAGAAGAGGGGAAATGTTAACCTATTTATTTTAACGGGTCAGTCAATTGTTTTAAATAATGTTTTTTTATCAGTGTTAACAATTTATAATGAAAGCATCCGGGATATGATAAGGTATTAATAAATTGTATAAATAATAAACTTGCTAAATTTTGAAAATACTAAAGTTAAAAGGTACAAATTCAACACCGCATACCTGTTACTTAAATAGAGGTTGCTTATGTCGCTGAGCAAGAAGTGAGTGTGGTCAATTTCCTCGTTACTCTGCGCTTTGGAAGATGAAGGCCGCATCATATAACCTTTAGGATTAAAACATTATAAAATTAATAAAACATCTAATGTTATAGAAGCGTTTTGTATGATTTTTTTTTTCAAGTAGCATCAAGCAACTCAATTTTACATTTCTTAACAGTATCTGAAAAGAGATTCGAGATGAGGTATGTGGTTGGGGTGGGTGGGAATTAGTTTGGAGATAAGAGTTGGGTGATAGGGTAAGAAATATGGGGTAGGGGTAATGTATAGGTGGTGAAGGTAGGGGTAGTTTATAGAGGATAGGGGATAGGGGGTATGCGTTAGGAGATAGAGGATAGGGGTGAATATAGGGGTAAGAGATAGGGGAAGAGGCTAGGAGTAAGACATAGGGGGTAGGAGATAGAGGGCGAAATTTATTTTAAAATTATCCCTCTTATCTTATCAGATAAACCATCTGATTTTTTTCGTTATGATAACTGGTTTCGGTGTCGATTTTTCAGTGTGTGTGCTATATAGTTCAGGAATTATAGCATTGTTACCTGGAAAAAATTCCCATAGTTTTGAAATTTGGCACAACTGTTCACCTTAGGGTACTTATTAACATACTAAAACTCCTGACCGCTCAAGCGTACGCTCGCTCTGCTCAATATGAGAAAAATCAGTTTTTCGCTATTTTCTCAAAAAGTTTCAGCTTGACAAAAAATGTACATCTATACATTTTTGTTAAATGTTTAATTTACTATAAAAAAGATTCTTTAAAAATGTCTTCCAAAACCAATATTTTCTTCAATAATTAGCAAAATGCAAAGGGTAGTTTACATTTTTTTCTATAAACTGACTATTACTGTTTTGTATTGTACTGTTTATAGGCATGATAAATAAAAATTGTTCGTAGTTTATTTGTATTCAGAATATTGGTATACGCATGCCTCTGACACCGGTTAAAAATAAAAATGTACATGGTATATACAGTAACCACACAAAAACGCGTCGGCCTTCTCATTGGAGAGCCATATAAGTGTTATACCTATACATTATTCTATTAGTTGTGTATAGTTTTTGTTTACATTGGAAGAGACCCTTTTGCTTCTATTCTTTGTGGTATATAATATAAGATATCGGTGTTATCTATGTAATATATATAAGTATATATAATATATATATACAGATCAAATATTTTACATCGTGTCCCATGGCAACCAAATCAAACATTTATGTCTGTTTGTAATTCTTATATATCTTTTGTAAAGAAATATTATGGCTCAAATGTAGTAATTGTTTTTGATGGATACAATGAAAGTTCTAAAAACACAAAAAACTACGAGAGGAGAAGACATACTCAAAATAGCAGATCAGTTGACATTATATTTAATGATAAAACGAATGTCACAATTGGGCAACAACCATTTATGTCAAACGAAAATAACAAACGCCTTTTAATAAATTTACTGACAAACAAGTTTAAAGATGAGAACTATCAGGTGGAAAATGCCCTTGACGACGCAGATACTTTAATAGTAAACACAGAACTACAATTATCAGCTACTAATCAGTTGCAATAGTTGGTGAAGACGTTGATTTATTAATATTACTTACTGCTCTAACTCCTCAAAAAAAATATATATTTTATTAAACCATCTAAAGGTAAAACCGTATCAAAAAGAATTTATTCGGCTAATTGTAAATTACATGATGTCATAAAAAAGAATTTGTTATTTTTACACGCCTTTAGTGGTTGTGACACAGTATCAAGTTTTTTTCAATTTGGAAAATTAAAGCGTATTAAACTATTACATAAAAGAGAAGATAGTAGCAGCATAATATCAGTGTTTTATGATGAAAATGCTACGTCTGATTCTATTGCCAAATCAGGACAGATTTATATTTTAGCGTTATATAGAGCGCCAGAAAAATAAATTTCTTTAAATGAATACAGATATAAATGCTTTACTAGAAGTACGACAAAAAATAAATCAAACATGTCAGGACTGCCACCAACTGAAAATGCAGTTAATTATCATTCGTATCGCGCACACCACCAAATACAACATTGGATTGGCGTTGAAAAAAATGCAGAAGACTGGGGATGGACCATTACGAAAATGGTTTACTGCCGATTTCTATTAAGGAAAAACCAGCGCCTGGTTGTCTTTTAAAAATGATTTCATGCAGTTGTATGAAAGGCTGTGGCGAAGCTTGTGGATGCAGAAAACATGGTAAGAAATATGTTTTTAAATTGAAATGTCTAAAACCGATGTAACGTAGCTACTCTGCTAGCTGGCTAGACTAGACTAGTTATCTTCTTCTTCTTTTTTATTACACCTTACACTTCCAACTACATGGTGGTCGGTTACCTAGTCCTACAACTCCATTAAGCTCGATATTCTACATCTTGTTAAATTACCCCAGCTATTCTCATATCACTCTCTATCCATAATTTTTTCGGTCTTTCTCTCTACATTTATTTTCATTACATCTCTCACTGCTTCTTCCTCGTCTCTTCTAATAATATAATCTAAAAAACCGATAATAATTTTATTAAACGATTTGTAGGTTTAAAGTGTTCGATAGCGTGTGCGCGTAGTGGACAATCGTGCCTCAATGCTTACTTAGAAGACTCAGGCGATGATGATATCGATGACGTTATTTCAAAATAACAAATTGACGTTGATTCCATTCCAACAAAACGACAACGGCTGTAATCGATTTTGCCTTTTATTTTAATATCTATATATATATTCGTATATAGGATTTCTAAATAAATAATTATAATATAAAATTGATTTTATCTTTACTAGTCATGTCTAATTATATAGAATAACGCAAACGGCGAAACTATAATAATATTCAGTTTATTGCCAAAAATGTAAACTACCCTTTGCATTTTGCTAATTATTGAAGAAAA